GGAGGGGGAGATGTGATTTGTGCATTATCTTTAGCGATATTAGAGAGACAAAAATCAAGGGGCTCAGTGCGAGTTTCTTGAACTTTTTAGTCTCGAGACGATTCTCCAACTATTGCTCTGCAAGTCAAACTTATTTCTCTGCGAATGGTGATAATAAGCTATAGAAAACACAAGAAGATTTTTTCATGGGCAATATCTTTCCAACCGTAGTGCAATTTTTCAAGTAAAGGGAGATTTTAGGACAATGAAGTATCCAGAAAATTTGTTCTAAATCAAGATTCAAAGGTTTTCATAATTTACATGTCATTCAAGGCTATTCAATTAAATCGCTGTGAATACTTCTGCGGGGCACAAGGCTTTATGCTTAATCTAAGAAGTTAACATATGAAGTTCTTTATAATTAGACTATCATCGCTAAGAGTAATTCTATGTATGTTTTTTTCAAGTTTTTTTTCTTGCATAAAAATGACTTTGCCGCAATAATGGGTTGCAATTTAATGATTCACAAGCTGTTTTTTGCAAATCCAGCTTTATAGAAAATGAACCAGAACTGTAAAAAAAGTTCCAATCGTAAATCATGATTATAGGCTATAGAAATAGGAGAAACAGCTTGCAATAAAGGCGCTCTACAGCGAAAACGTGCCAGCTGGAATGAGTTCTGGAATGAGCACCACGATTGATTGTGCTCACGTTCTCGTAGACGTATTGCTGCATATTTCTCACATAACACTTCATTTCTTCACGGCTACGATTCTTCACAACGAATATCGAATCATTCGCCTGCTGTAGCTCAACAACTGAATTAAGAATACTCGTTTGTCCCAACAAGCTAGATGTTGATGTGATGAATACACAAACAAATCGCTCTTGTTGGCGGAAAAGATTGGGAGTCGCAGTCGCAGCGCGATTTCAATTGACGCAGTTTTTTAAAAGCTTATTCTAAGAGGGATTTTTCAAAAGTAATACTAAAATCTGCTGCAGATCCCTCCGTGTTTTTTTCTAAAACCCATTCCGGGTCATTTCAGTTCAAAAACAGGTCAGATATTACACAAACCCCTTCACAATGTGGACATATGGGCCAATTATAGCGCACTTTGACGGATATCGCCCCGACATTTTATCGCCACCATTTGCAGTGACGAAATTGCCACTCACACACGTATTCACAGCAGAGATGTCTGCCTGGGCCTTTGTACTCTAGCATTTGGAAAAGCTTTTTTGACGCAAAACTATGCGATTATTCATATGTGATTATATAATAGTGGGTCAGAGGAACGATGGGATATTTCCAGAAATTTTGCGAAAATTGAAGAGAAAAACTCTGAGAATTTTCCTCCTTCCGCAGAATGATTGGAAAAAAACGATATGATAGATTTTGCTGGCTGCAAAATCTTATTCAGCAGCTAGCAAAATCTATAAAATCTTGGACCTTCAAACAGACTGAAAAATTTGGAAAACTGTGCAATCGGTAAACCCGCGATCAAAATAACATAAAACAGCTTGACGACAATCGCCGCGATATAACACTTCGCTACCTGCCAAAAATCCAAGTCATTCTCCTCGACACTATTTCGTTCATCTTCAGAATCGTCATCGTCATGGCTGCCCGACTCCTCCAGAACAGGAGCCAATCGCTGTAGACACGGTCGTTGATCAGCGCGACGTAGCGACAATGACGACATCGTCGCGACGCGATCGACGGTGGACGCGATCGTTCGACGGCAACGTTATTGCGGGCCACAATACGCTATGCACAATGCGGGCGGAGTTCTTTCGGGCGATATGCTCTTGTTCCGGGTGATTCACCGGCATCGTCGTCGTCGTCGTCG